AATTAAATGAAATCAAACAAAGACCCTTATTTACCTCAGCAGGATGCATAAACACATGTTCCAGATTTTGGCCCTTTAAATGACATTTTCGTAACTAAGATGACTGAGAATATAAACCTATGAGACACTGCTCCAGTCAATCAAGGGGGGTCAACTTTGTCCGCCAAATGCTTAATTCAGTTAAGAACAATTAAGATATCAAAATGTACTCAAGGAATCCCACAGAATAACAAACCATGTGGGTTTTTTTTTTAAATCATACCTCTATTTCAGCAGGGGCATAGAGGTAATTGAAGAAAATAGGGCTCCTTTTGTGCATTTTTTCAATACATTCCCAAATACAAATTCCTTTTTTGGCATGTTTATCTCCTTTATCTTCAAACAATGTCCCTAGGGAAAATAATAGCAGCAAAAAGATAGCTTTATGATAATGCATAACAAACACTAAAGCACAGCCAAAAGGAATTTCACAGACTAAATGTATAGTAAAATCTGCTATCAAATGCCACTGCAACAAGAGATTGTATTTGATGACACAACTGCTGTACTTTGCAACTGCAGCTATTCAGTAGCATTACGTTTATAAACCTGTTCTGAAATTTACTGAAATACTTGAGTGTATTTATGAATGTCCCTTTCTGCCTGCAGCTATGCTGACTCAGCAGACCACCATGCCCTACTAACCGATTCTGCCCCTGACTACCCAAGGGTACCAGCCCTTCCAATCTGCTGGACCAGCTGCACCTGAAATTACTTGCTAAGTCATTTCAGAGAAAACAAATCAGGCTAGTGTAAATAAGTTAGCTGTAGATTTGTGCTATCTGAAATTACTTCAGAAGGACATATCTCTTATCCAAAGACTACTGGAAACAGGATTTTATATTGCATTAAATGGTATTTGAAAGCAAACTACCCCTAAATAAATAAACACCCCCCACCCCCGCCCCACCCCAAATTGTAGAACCATGTTAACAATCCAGGTTGGAAGGAACCACAGGGCATTGACTCCAACTCCTTGCTTTTGTTCAAATGAAGGTATATAATGGAAATTAACTTTTTTGCTGCAATGAAATGGTCGCTCAAGTTTAGTCTGGTCCACAGTTACTACAGCTTTTAAGAAAAGCATTCAAACCCACCCCACGAAGCAGTGAAATTCAGAGCACAGAAGTGTTTTGCTTAGTGAACAAGTTCCAAGAACAGCCTCAACTGTGGTTGTGTAGTCTTATTAAGAGGGCTCTGAGGGCAGATAAGGCCTTGGAACCAGTAAAGTTGCACACGATAGATGGAGTAAAAAGGAAATATAAAAGAAGAGAAACACTGAAGAGAATGCAAGAGAAAGAAGTGAGAGAGAATAGATGGAAAGTCTTTCCTTTCCTGAAACCTCATGCACTCTCTGAAGGATTCCCAAGGACTTTGTTTCTGTTAAAAAAAGATATTTAATAGGGGAAGCTGAACCATGTGGATAAATTGCTAAAAAACCCTGAGGCATGGCAGCAATTTCTTCCACTTTTTCTTAGTCCCATCAGTGGCATGGCTCAGGAATTATTCATTCAGAAAATTCTACATGTTCTTCACCTCCATTTTGCTTTATGTTCCTGAAATGGAATTCATTACATCATCACCATGCAATTACTGGACCATCTCAAACTAGGCAAATTTTTGTAAACCAAATATTGACGAGAAAAATACCGACAACTACAAAACCAATATGCAATAAACAAACATTACACATACCATGTTCTAGTCTTTCATAGTCTGAGTCCAGAAGAAATGTTTTAAATCGATTTGATATGTGATGAAAAGCCAGAAACTTTAGATAGTATTGATTGAACTCAAACTCTGTTGGGTACTGGTGATGAATCTAAAAAAAAAAAAAAAAAAAAAAAAAAAAAAAGGATGTTGAGGTATAATACAAACAGATATGTAAAAAATAATAATGTGAAATATGACAGCAAAATAATTTCCCATGTTCCCATGAAGTTACACCATGTAACTTCATAGGCAAAGATGCTACTCCTGGATGTAGCTGGAAATCAAATTTAATTGGAAGGTTTTGCAGTGGACTTCTTGATATTGCTCAGAACCCAACATAGCAGACACGTACAGAGGTAATGCTGCAAATGATATTCCATCTACCATTACTGAAATAGCTAACTTCTGAAGTACTTGCTAGTCTACACATTTTCTTTCAAAATATGCACCAAAATATTACAGTACCGAAAAAAACCCCACCAACCCATACTGACGACGTGTCTTGCCATTATTTTTTTAAAACAGTAAAAACTACATAACGTCTTATATTGTTATCCTCAGGAGTCAGGAGCAGATATTTAAGAAGACAATACAAGATTATCAGAGTACAGCACTATGGGATAGTTGGCTCTTCACAATTGCTTTCTCCTGAACATGATCAGAAAGAGCCTGGTGTAAGATTTTAATGATGAAGTTTAACATTCATGGCAACATTTTTTAGCATTAATTATTGATGATATTTATACTTGATATCCATATAAAATTCCAGATTCCAAAAATCTTGATGAGATACTGCTCACAGAAATTTAATGTATTAATTTCAAATTTACTTTTCAATTAAGTTTATGAATTGCAATCTTTATTTTCAGATTTAAGCATGGTAATTAACTAAAAATTCCCAATTACAATGGAAATAAGTACAGTCTGCAATCAAAAAAGAAATTGCTGATTGAGTTTCACATTGGAAATATGTCCTACTGTGCTTTGCCTGGCTTCACATCAAACTTGTAAAATACCTTTAGTTCTGTAATCTTCCCATGCCTTGTCTTTTGCATTCTCACCACTCTCATTTTCCCATTACATCTTTTCTCTCTAATCTCTACTTATCAGTCCCTCAAGAGAGAAATGTGGGGTTTTTTAGTACTTATGGAAACTAGTATTAGACTACTTGAAGCTCCTTGATGTTTAGATTTTCACATGTGCCAATTGGGAAAAAACCCAACCAGCTAAATAAAGAAAAAAAATATGCGTTTAACAAGGAACGGTTATCTACTGAACGTACAACAGTGACAGGAAAATCCCTTCAAAGGACCTATAAACACATACACAGCATTTCAGTCAGAGAATTTGTTGTTATCATATCTCAATATTAGCTTGTGGCTAGGTATTTAAAATGCTAAGATACTTTAAGATATCTCAGATCATCATACGCACACTTACTTTATCCCCACTTCTCCCCTGATACGAATGACTACATTCCTGCACTGTTTTGTAAGAATAAAGCTAAGCAAATTTTTTTCTATAATAAATTCAAGACTTCAACTTCATAAAGTAACATTTTAGTTTTCCTTATAAAAAAGAAAATATTTTTGTCATAGATTAGATTACAATATAATCCAAGCGCACTAGTTCTGTTCAAAAATGACATAATGTACTTTTGTGCTGAAATTCAAAAAGCTCTGCATATGTGTGTGCATTTAGACACATATACACACATATACAAGTACTTTAGTATACATTTTCTCCTTGTGTTATGAGAAGTTTTCTTTAATATATTGTAAGAAGGAGAGGCTACATTCTCGCTATTTGACATGACTTATACAGGGTCCTAATTTCTACTTACATTATTTTAATACATTTGAAGACTTACAAGAATAAGCTGCTACTAAAATCCTGTCATGGATCTAGGATTTGTGAGTGATCCCATTTCTGAGATTTCTGGAACTACAAGTGACTAGAATTTATAATAATATAATTTACTTTTAAAGTGAAAACAACTATCATCTAAAACATTTCTTTGATAAAGGTGAATAATGTAGTTATTATTGTCTGTGTTTTAATGGCTGGGGGTGGTTTTTGCACACTTTGCGCAGGGGGAGATTCCACAGCTAGGTGAAGTGACTACTGTTATTGATGATTTGTTTAGCTGGAGTGCAGTCTGCAAAATTTAACACATGGCTGAGCTATCAGGGAAAAAAGCTCCTGATAAAATACAGCTCCAACATCAGAAGTGATAAACTAGAAATGTAACATAGGAGAAAATAATTGTATTAATTTAAGCAATTAAAAAAAAACATAAAAGAGATACTTTTATTACTGTAGGCAGTGTAACCACTTAGGTTGAGTGGCTGGTTTCTCTCTGATAACTCTTTGGTGCAATTTCAGTTAATTCATTGATTTTAAGGGATATATGCAAAATTTACATGGAAGTTAGAAGCAATGTTTTATACTTTACAATTTCAACACATACCACCTAGAAAGATAGGTCTACAGGGACCTATCTTTGAAAATTACAACTGCAACATCTTTTAAAATGCTTAATTTCCATAATATATGAACATTTAAAACCTGAGTAAACCAATATGTGTTTCAGACATTATGACTAGAGAAACTTAGTATTTTAGACTTCTTTTTCAAATCACCATGTTCCCAATTAACTTAAATATCTCTTGAATGTATTCAATAATCTTAAGCTTCTATCAGCCTTCCTTAGCTTTCCAATACATTTTGGTTTTCCAATCCCATTATATATCAACATTTACTTAGTTTAAATACTCCAAAATGTCCTGTGGTAGTAATCGCTAAGAGGCTACTCCTGCAAACACTGGAATAACTGAATGCATCTACCATGGGACTAGCACACTCACCTCCGCTTATACAGGGTGCTGTAACAGAGTGCCTTATTGAGCTTAAAAGAAGTCAGTTCTAGAAAATCATTCCATTTTAATTATATTTAATAAATTAACAAATAGATACAGAAGAAAAATAAGAAAAGCTTCCTACACTGACATCACTTTCAGTGTCATCACTCAGTCTTCTTCAAAGCAGAGAGAGCATCTGGCAGATGCTGCTATTGTGAAAGAATGATTTTGCACTAATAATTCAGCTGACACCTGGAGATATTGGCATAAACAATGACTTTTTACAAGATGATGCAGTTCTAATTTAGGAATCACTGCTTCATTTGTTTTCTCTGTATCTTTAGTTTAACCCATGACATTTAATGCACATATTGGCTCTATGATGACTTTCTTATTGCACCTAGTATATTGAGACTATAATGGTTAAAAATATTTTGAGAGGACCAAATATTTATATCCAGTGAATGGGCAATTTTTAAAAACTGATCACAATACATTACACTGCAGGGTCAAGTTGCAATCTAATTGGATTATGTAGTTGCCTAGTAAGTTGCACAGAAACCAAAGAAACTTAACAGAAATGTTCAAGTACAAATGTTAAGTAAATTTATTTTTCATAGTAAATTCCTATGAAACTTCAACCATTAATTTGACTTCAAAAGTAATTTTCCTAGAATTTACAACCATACTGTTAGAATTTGGTAAGTCAATACTATGCCATCATGAGTTAGGAGACTAATCTTCGTAAGTCTATTTCTAGAAAACTTACTCAGAGTTGCATTCTAAATAGGACTGTAAGTCATGGAGCTTGAAGATCTCTTCTAATAACAGACAAGTCTGTATTATCTATATTACACTGATCATGCAGTAAAGCTGTGTTCCCATGCCCTTTCTTGGCTGAAGATAACACTGGCTGAAAAGATGATAACCCCTAGACAGCCCTATCCTTCCTTATGAGAAGTTACTGCCTCCTTCAGATTGCCCTGAT